AGAGAGACAGAGAGAGACAGAGAGACAGAGAGACAGAGAGAGACAGAGACAGAGAGAGACAGAGACAGAGAGAGAGAGAATTAAAGGGAACTCACTAGGTTTGTTGCATCTGTAAAGCCTAATTCCAAAACATGGAAAAATGCTCTATTTAGGTAGGAAAAAAATCTTTTCCTTATGATTTGGAGCTGCCTACTGTGCCTGACTGGTGCCTGTGTGAGAATTAAGCCCTTAGTCTGCTCTTGTACTTATCCAAATGCCTGAAATTAAAAATTTTTGCTTTTATCATAATAAAAATTGTCATTTTCCCCTTATGAAAAAAGAACTTATAATTCAGACAAAACCAGAAATATCTTTAATAGCAAAATATTTTTTTTGTGGTACCAGGGATTGAACTCAGGACCTTGCACTTGCCAGGCAAGTTTAATAGCAAAACAGACAGGAAATTAACATCTCCACAATGAGGTCAAGTAGATCTTTTGGCTCTGAGAGATTTTTGCCTCATTAATTTCAATTGTTATTATTTTAATTCCCAGATTTGCCTCTCCTCTTTGCAGCCTTCATTTGTCTCACAAGCCTTCCCGGTTTATACTGTTTCAGAAATGTCACTTCAAGAGCATCATAACTTCAGTTTTGAATATTCAGTTTTTTTACCACTTCTCCTTGTATGAGTTTATACATATTTCCCAAGAATAAATAAGATATTTATCACATTGTGAGTTTATTTGAATTGGTAATCTTAATAGTGAGCTTATATGGTAAGCTTAATTACAAAAATTAAGTAAGCTCAAACTTAAGAGTATCTAATAAAAATAACATAGACCAACATGTTTTTTAATTTGATAGGTCCCTGGATGTTAGCAGATTCACTGGACTGGAATGTCCTGGATCAGTTGGCTTGTTCATGCATGTCAATTAATATTTGGACTGCTTTTGTGGAAAAACTGCAATATTGGATTGAGCAGTTGACAGTGGTAGAAGACCTTATCTTGTAATAAATGGTCTAGTGAACAAGACAGAAAAAAGGATGTACGCATTTAGGAAATGAAGACAATCCTGGATGGGGTTATTTTACCAATCATCTTGATTGACCAGCTTGGAACAGAAGCTTAAACTTGCAGTTACCCCACCTCAAGCCCAGTAACACTGGATCAGGTTAATGTCACCTATGAGTGTCAGACAACTGACCAAAGACCACTGGAAGATAACTTTTATTTCCTTCAGATGCCAGGAATGCAAACTAGATATGAATTCAGCCCAGGACTCTGTGGAATATTTGCTTGATTGTTTATTCATTCATTGTATTTGGGCACCTACCATTTGCTCCACAGAGCTAGGTCCTAGATATTTATTTGTAAATGACCTGTACACAGTCACTATTGGTAGAAATTATAATGTGTAAAAGTGGGTTGTCGGGGACTGTAAGATTTTCCCAGATCTCATGGTTTAAATTCTCCCAAGGCCAGGTATGGTGGCTCACACAGTAATCACAGCATTCAGCAGGCTGAGGTAGGAGAATTTTGTGAATTCTCAGTCAGCCTGAGCTACATAGTGAGTCCAAGGCCAGCCTGAACTACATAACAAGACCCTATCTCAGCCCTCCCAAAATAGAAATAAAAATTAAAATATAATTTTCATAACACTTTTTTTTGGAAAGGCTGAAAACCCTGTTAAATATAGAGAAACAAACCCCAGAATAGGATTCAGTGGCTCAGACTCAGGTTCTGGCAGTCTCTTTTCTTTCTTTTCTCTGTCCTTCCCTTTCTTTGTTTTTCTTTCCTTTTTTTTCCATACAAGGAGTTGGACTGAAGGCCTTTTGGAAGACAAGTGTATTTACACTGAGCTACATCCCCCATCCCTTGCAAAAAAAAAAAAAAAAATAGAATCATAGACTCTTGCTAAATTTCCTCAAATTTTCAGTCCTCCTGCTTCAGCATTGCCTGTGTTAGGATTACAGTGGGCACCATGACAGGCAGCAGTTCGAGATGTTTTGGACAAGTGATGGTTTAGCCCATTCCTTAGTACAGGCTATCCTATGAACCTTTGGACAGAATAGGTGCTCTAGTTCAGTTATTACTAGAGTGACCCCTGTTGGAGTCCCTGAAAGGTTGAGGTAAGTGGTGGTGGAATAGAGGGGCAATATGTATGAGTGTTTCTTATTGTCAAATAAACTAGATGTTAAGGAACAAAGCTTACCAACACTGTCTTGCTTCGGGGAGGTAATGAAAGGGCTAACTGAGGAAATTTTGGGGGTGGCTGGGGCACATCAGGAACATGGAACTCTTTGTATTAATAAGAAAATGATAGAAGTTCAAAGAGGATGTGAAAATGAAAAGTGTACATCCTTGGAAAACTTGATGAGTCCTGTGCTGGTGCGGGTGCCCCTGGAGAAGGAATCACTGGATGCTCACTTGAGCGAGGCCCTGCTCCTGTAAATAGCCATTAGTGCTATGAGGTCTGCTAATGAACACATTACTTAAACCCTCCACCATCTGCCCTGCTTTAATCAGGAATACAGTGAGAATGGATTCCACACACACAGTGATAAGCTAGCAAAAACATCTAATAAGAGCATTTTATTATGGCATATGTTCCTTTTGCCAGCAGTGCAATTCTGTTGCATCATATCTGTTTTCTAGTGTCATTGATTAAGTTCCATTAGAATTTTAGAGCTCAAAGGCTCTTTTGAGACCATCTAATTTCTCATCATAATTTTATAAATGAAGACAGGGAAAACAAGAAACTCTTCCACAATTCTTCAGTTTCTAGTACACAGCTCTTTCCAGTCTTCTTTTTTTCTCTAATGCTGGATAAACATGTTACTCACAGTTTCCAAATCCTTTACATGTTAACATTTGTGAAAGATGTAAATTGATGCCCACTCTACTCTGATCAGGGGAGTCTCACAGATGGGCTTTGGGATCAGTGGGCTGCCTGCCACGTAACGTGAGCTTGCCAGAGGGATGGACATGGCTAACTGGGAAAGTGTGCTGTCCCTCTGTATTGTCAAAGAGGTCTGAAGAGGCACCAGTGCTAGAATGCTGCCCAAGATACAATCATTTGTTTCTTTTGTAGTTGTCTTGACCCTGAGCTCTGGTTATAAAAGTCCACTAATTGACTTTTACGAAGAACATTTATAAAGTCCATTATGAAGAACATTTGTTATACAGTATGTCCCCAGCACTATAAATTCAAAACGTATTATCTATGATGTGTTTCTTCAAAAATCCAAGCATCATTATAAGCTCATAAGGTATATGGATTACAGCGTGGAATTAATTTGAACATGAGAGGGACTATGTTGTAAAAATTTCTATGGGGCAATCATGTCATGAGAAACAGTTGATAAAGTTAAATACACAATATATGAAGTACTTGGTAGCTTCAAATTATTATGTATTGAGGTAAAACTATATGTCAAGAAAGGATATATTTATATTATATATGATATATATTATATTATATTATCTCCAATTACCTTAACATTTTGAGATAGATAATATTACCTTAATTTTAGGGAAGTTCATAAAGTTAGAACCATGACTCATAAACATAGAATGGTCCATGTTAAATATTTTATTCAATTCATTAACTCATGGAGGAACATAGTAAGATGAAAAATCTGGTTAAATAAAGTATTTTGAGAATTTTTTTACTTATAGGCATGTGGGGAAGGAATATAGAATAAAATGAGCTGGTTAGATTAAAAATACTGTTAATATTCTTTAAAACATTTCAACAACAACCTTTGAGGTTATACTTTCTACCAAATAGAACCTAGAAATTAACATGTAGCATTAGAAAGCAGAGGCTCTAATAAAATATATAAAATAAAGTAAAACAAGAACAATCATCTGAAAGAGCTAAGTAATTACTGGGTCAGATTATTAATGACTCAAAGTGTTTTTGCAATCATACATATTGCCTTTATTTCTAAGTTTCAGTTATTTTTTTAAAGGCCCAGAAAGGCTAAAACCTTGGCCCAAAATTCAAAACCAGGTTATTCCATTTGCAAAATCTGATACTGTTGCCAAATGACACTACCTTGTATATTACCAACATTAATACTGCAGCAGGAAAAGCAACTTTGTAGATATTTTAGGGCAGCACAGTAGATACTTTCAAAGCATCTCTTCTAGTTCATTCCATTTATATCACCAACACCAATGCCCGTTTTTTTCTTTCAGTTTCATTAAGTTTTTCCCAAATTGGCAAACTAAGTCTGAAAACTCATTCATCCTAAACTTCAAAATCTTTATTTTCCCACATGTCATCATCAAACGAAAGCAATCACCTCAACTTGATTTTCCAAGGAATTGTCTATTTCCTTTACGACAGAAAGGTAGTAGCTTAGTAATTTAATTATAGAATTTTAAGAGATAGTCTTTCTTAGTGTCAGAGTTTCTCCTGGATCCTAATCAGGAAGTAATTTTATCACTTGTGGCTTTGATCCTTCATTAAAAATACATTTACTCCTTTACTGCATTCTGACAGATGTTTTGAGAGCAGGTAGAGGCATCAAGATGTGGGTAACGGCATCCCTGGGTACCAAGTCAGTCTAAAGCACAAGAGGCAAGGGCAGTGGTGGGAAGCTCAGGGATGAGATGCTGAACAGCTGTTCATTTGTGGTGGGGTGAAGGAGGTGCACGGAGATGCTGAGCTGCATAGACCCTACTTGGAGAGGGGCTAGAGGAAGAACAAGCTCTCCATGCACAGGGAGAAAAAAGACAACTGCTCTGGACTCATCACTGGCTTGCTTATAAAGCATGTAGCGGAATGCCTGGGCAGATGTCCTGGATGTGCATTTTAAAACTCATATGAGATCAGCTCTTTATTTCTAATTCTGGCAGAAGTATCTTTTGTGAAGATTTTGTAAGATTGCTTTAGCAAACACACATGTGCATATACACATATGCGAAAGTAAGCAAAAATTGTATCTGATTTCCTCCTAGGAAAAGAGAACCCTGCTAGAGAGAAAACTGTCTTTGGAAAACAAGCTACTGCAACTCAAATCCAATGCTCCATATGCTAACAGGTTTGCAAATTTACCTTCTAAGTCAAAGCAGTGCCAGATGCCTGACTTTCCACTGGAATATTAGCCAGAGAACATAAGGCTTGCCAAGCCTCAAGGAGGTAGGGCAACTGCAAGGGCAGGATGGAGACAGGTTCCTAAGAGGAACAGCTACCCACTTTTCTTTCTTCACTCTCTTCTACTGAGAAGTCAGGGGCACAGCATTCACTGTGGGCTCCAGGGACCTGATAGAAGGGTTAATCCTTTCCATAGTGATTAAGCCTGATGCCTTCTGTTTACTCTTGGTCCTGGATGCTGGGGATATCTTCATCCCTCTTATGCTGTTCTTGTTAACTTGTCTCTTCTTCAGTCCACAGCAAGCTGGATAGCCCATGAGTGAAATTCTAAGCTGGTTCCATTGTGCTCCTTATCTTGGCAGAGAATGATGCAAATACTATGGAAAACATTTTTAATTTTTTTGACTGACTCAAGCAAGTAATTGCAGTACTTTGCACATAAGATTTATGGACAGCCATCTATCCTGTTTCTTCTCAACTGCTGTTGGGAAGTCCTCAGAACTATTAGGGTACTACTCACATCACAAGACATGTTCCAAGATTTTTCTTTTCTTTTTCCTTTTGATTCTAAGCCCATCACTGTTGGCATATGTTCTGTTGAGAAGATACTGCGTTCAAAGTCAACTCTATTTCAACATCATAACTCACCCATCTGCAATGTTCTCTCGCCAGGTTTTCAGGGCCCACTAGAAGCCCCACAGAGCCCAATTCATATTGTCATTCATTTAGAAATATGTGTAAGGCATCCTTCCTGACTCTTTTACTTTCCATTCTATTTTCCTCTCCTCTCTAATTGTCTGTCTCTTCTCGTTCATCTCTCTTTTTATGTTTTGCCTTCTACCTGGCTCATATTCATTAATGTTTGACCACATGTCAAACCTAAGTCCAGAAATGGGCCAAATGTGGCATTGGCTGTATATATTTGAAACATCCTGAGATACCCACAAGTTATTAGTTTTTCTGCATCTCCTTCTCCCCGGAAGGGCAATGCCCTCACAAGGCAGACTTCTCCTACATCTATTTGGCATTGTACATCTTGGGAGACCATAATGCGGATCCTGGAGAAGTTGTCCTTAGACTGCAGAACTGCCTACAATTGCACATAACTGAATTTTAAGTGTACTGTTGGCTTCCTTTTTCCACCTTAAATGCAGAGACCTTTTCTATGTGACAGAACTACTGGCTGATACAATATACTTTCCTTTAAGAGTCTAGGCAATGTAAATTTGGATGTTTTTCTTTAAATATTTGTCCTCAACAAAAGAATTTTTATCAGTCTTTGAGGCAACAGTATAAACAACCATTAAGAAACATAAACTGACCTGGTTTTGCGTTGTGTTATTCATAACTGATTGTTCTAAGGAATTCTCAAAACACTCATAAGTAGACTTCAGAAATTTTTTGAGGTAAGTGGGTGTTTTGTGTTTCCTGAAAGCATTTGAACATTCATTGCTTATGTAATTTTCATAGATTGTAGGCATTCCAAATATTTATCTTACTTTTCTCAACTTTTATAGAAGCATTCACTTTACTATATGACAACAAAGTGAAATCTTAAGGAATCAACCTCTGTAGGTTAAAGAAAGAGTGACTTGGTTAAGCTAAATCAAATAAAGAAGATTGCTCTTAGGCTGAGATTAGGTAGATATGACCATAAAGCAAAAGCAGAATATTAAAAGCTTTTCTGTCTGAAAACATAGTTGACTATGTTTCTATTACCATTATTACCAACTGGCATGTGGCTAGTGCTTCTCAGTTTACAGACTAAGCCCATGTATCTTATTTAATTTAATCCTTCCACTGGTCTTTTAAGGAGTGAAAGGAGCTTTTAATTGTCTAAGATACTTCATGAGAAGGTGAAGGGCTAGGAATTTGGCTCCTGCCTTCTCATATAGAGCTAAGCCTGCTCCTTGTGCTGTGAAGTGTTTTGACCTCCTTTCTTGCACTTTCGGAGACCCCTAAAAGCCTCTCTGATGGTTCCCTCACTCCCTTGTGTGATGATGGGCAAAGAGCTGTTTCCCAACTTGTCCTTCTCTCTGCTACATCATAGACACTCAGCTCCATTTTAGATTTGAATTTGGGGGAAACACATGTGGAGGTTGTTAAAATAAGCAGCATCAGTTCCTCCATTAGGTGGGAGTTGCTGGGGTATGGCGAACTTCTCAGAGAATGAAACACTTTTGTCTCAAAGCATAGGTTTCAGGTCAAAACAGAGTATTCTGAGGTTCGGCATTTAACTGTGGTGATTTGAGAGGAACTTTCATGCTGTTTCATTGATGCTATCCCTGAAAGTACCAATGGAGCAGATTTTGAGGGACGATAAAGATATATACCTGAGTTTTGTTGAAAAGTGAAGAGAGTTACAACTACATATATGTTGATTTTTTATTGTGGCTTGCCTGGGGGATGGTGACATTTCAATTGGGTTTCTAGAAATAATCCCATATTGAGATGGATTTCAAATCATACTTTTTATGGTGCATTTTATGTTAATACCTTCAAGACACTCAGAAAAATATGCTGAGCTCGGTTTTCATGCAGGGAGATGAAGCCTTCCACGGCACACTTTCTTTCTCTGATCCACCTCCTCTGACCAGATCCTACCTCCTAACAGCACGCTCAGCTCCTGGGCTCCCCATGGATGAACTACTAATGAGTACAACACAGACTCCACTCACCTTCCAAAAACCCTACCTCTGAAAACACAAGGCTATGGGGAGAAATTTCAGATCTAAATCCTAACAATAGTAAGACTTTCTTTCTTAAATGCTATGAAAACTCATAGGAAGAGAACCAGAAATGGCCTTCTCCTCACTATCGCTTTGTGATGAGCTGAGAGAAAATTCTCCATTCTCTTTCTAAAAAGGAATGAGATTCCCCCCTCCGCCCAAAACCTCTTGCCATCACTTATATTCTTTCCAATTCCAAAGCTCTGATATGTGAGGTAAAATAAAACACAGGACACTGAGCATTGTATTTTTCCTAGGGCTTTGGAATTCCAAACCATATACCTCCTCTCTTCACCCTTTAGAGTCTTCTTATGCTTTCTGCATACAACTTGCAGTTTTTCATTGTACCTGCTGGGAAAAAGTCCAGAAAGTATGTATTCTGTATCTTTGAAGCTGAGGGTTTTTCAGGCATATTTGAACTTCTGCATAAACTTTTTTTTTTATTCTACTGCAATGTTGAGGAATACATTGATCAAAAATTCTATGAAGGCTTTGTGAGACAGAGCATAAATCCTAAAACACACATTGGTTAGAAGGGTTCTATTTGCTTTTTGTGGACTTGGTCCATCCTTATGTTTCTGTTCTCTTGTTCTGTTTGTGTAGCTCTTTAGTGAAACTGAACAATTTAGTGAAAATATTAATAAAGCTGCAAAGATAAGGAATATTCATCCTATTTATCTAAATATCCTTTAGTCATTGTTCCAGTGTCTTAATGAAGATAAACCCCCAAGGCCAGAGTTTTCAAGAGCACTTCTAGACAGAATTTCATCTTGAGACAGATTTCAAATTTATGTTAATTTATGGTTAATTTTATGTTAATACCTTCAAGACACTCATGAGAAAATGTTCTGAGCTTCATATTTGTGATAGCATAATCTCAACCCTCTCCAAATCATCATTTTTCCTATTGGTTGGAAGGTTATGGGAAACAGTGAGAACCACTTGAAATACTTACTATTAACTTTTTTTTCCTTTGTATTTTCTGCATATTCAAAGCCAGCTTGCTTCTGCAAAATACCTAATGTCCTTGCTCATTATTTCTGGGGGAAGTGCTACTTTTAACCCCTAAATAAGCTATTATTCTTTCTTCTTTTTCCTTTCTTCTTTTTGTTCATTATTGTAACAATTTTGAATTTTAGTGCTAGCCATGTGCCCCATTAGACTTCCATGCAGATTTGGTCCTCATGTTCATAACCAAGTTTTCCAAGTGCCTGAGGATTTTTTTTCTTCCAAGATTTCCTACTTCCCCATATTATAAACATTGTAGCAACTCTACCTTCTGCTGGCCTGAGCATCACTCTCATATGTCTTAGCTTCAACGCTTATGTGTTACTGATCTCCCAGCCCCTGTGGATTCCCTAAGATGTGGTTCTCTCTCTCATTCTGTCTCTCTGTTTCTGTCTGTCTCTGTGTCATTGTTTCTCTGTCTGTCTGTCTGTCTGTCTGTCTGTCTGTCTTTCTGTCTGTCTCTCTCTTAGAGTTTACATACCTCTAGGTCTATTCTTTTTTAGAAAGGATCTGAGTTTCGCACCCCATTGTTTTGAATGTCACCCACTGGAGGTCCTTAAGTCTGCTCAAGATCTTGTGTCTGGTAAAGAGGCATTTGATTCTTAAATAGAGGAATAATTAGAGACTAACAGTAATTCAAAGCAGTGCCATAGCAGCCATTCTCAGAACTTGAATTTTATTTAATTTTAATTTTTGCTATTACATGTTTTCAGTATATGAAGATTACATTCATTGTGGAAAGTTGGTAAATGTACATAAAGCAATTTAATTTCCTTTTCATCTGATTTTTCTCCTCTCCTTCTCACTCCCTTCATCTCTGGGTAGCCTTCCTTTTCTCAAAAGATCTGTCTTCCTATTTTCTATTACCTGTCTTTTATTTTGCATTTTATTTATATTTCCTCTTTTACAAGAAACTATTTCAGCAATGCTGATGAACCAGAATTGCCTCTGTGGTCAGTTTTTGTCACTTGGGCACATGGTAACCTCATCTGAATTAGCCCTCTAGATTCTTTCTTTTCAAACACTGCGTCCCATGAGCCAGGGAAAGAAAAACAATGGGCTGTGCATTTGTTTGTTTCCAATTCCATATTGCCTCTCTCTGACAGAGAGAAAGACCAGTCTAAGGGTTTATTCTGAGGGTGAAGTCCTTTAAAGTATTGGAAGAAGACAGGGTAAGTACAAGTACAACTGAATTGACAGTCTATGCCTT